GTGGTAGTGGTAGTGGTAGTGGTAGTGGTAGTAGTAGTAAGAAGTAGTAAGAAGTAGTAAGAAGTAGTACTAGTAGTAGTAGTAGTAGTAGTAGTAGTAGTAGTAGCAGTAGCAGTAGTAGTAGTTGTAGTCGTGATGGTGGTGGTGGTGGTGGTGGTGGTGGCGGCAGTAGCACCAGCAGCATTAGGCAGTAATAATAATAATAATAATAATAATAGTGGCAGTAGTATTGCCAACCTTACAGCGTTTGTTTGTGCATTTGTGGTTCGAAGGAAGTTGAGAGGCTTGTGCAGCCTTTTGTTAAATGGTTGTTGTGAGGAGTTTAAGAATTTAGGGTTGAGCGCGGGCGCAAGGATGCAGCAGTCTGAGCCCTTCATCCATAAATCCTCAGATGCACGCCACAAGCCAGAATCAACAGAACTCGATTGAGCTACTTCTACCACTTGAACCAAGCACTGCCAGCCTGCAAGCTCAGACACCGTTGGCTTCTCAGAGATGCGGGCTGGATTGGGTTTTGGTTCGAGGCTTTAGAAGATCCGGGGTTTGTGTGGATTCAAGGAATTCGGAGGGGTTTCAGGGCCTGCTCCCTCCAAACCCTTGACCTTATGCCCTAAACCTTACATCTTGTACCCGCAACCCTATACTCCCCGAGCCCTCCTGAACAGTGGGTGAACAATCCAGCCTCATCCGTTTTTGCAGGAAGTCCACAACCAGCTCGAGGATTCCAGCAGCGAGGATGTCGAGCTGTGAGTTTCTAGGATTCTTGAGCTCACAGGTTATAGGTCGTTGGGTTTACTGTATATGGTTGAGGGTTTAGGGTTTCATTGAGTGTGGAGTATGGCTTCGGGTACAGGGTGTATAGGCAGGGTTTAGCGAGTTTGCAGGACCGTCTTGCACACAGGAAGTTTGCTGATTCCTATAATAAGGTTGCATGTCTTGCGGCGCAGGCAAGGCAAGTGGAGAGCTCCATTCTCCCAACTGCAGGTCTTGTGGGTTCGTGTTCATGACCCTAGTGACCTAGTGCAATTTGCCAGAATGTCCCCAACCCTACACCGCTTACAAGGACGGCCAAATAGTTTTCATTCGCTCTTTATCCCACCTCGGGAACCCAGTCATTGAATCTTGGGGTTAGGAACCCAAAGCCACCAAGCCCTAAGTCCTTAAAGCCTAAACTTCCCTAAGTCCTTGAACCCCTCAAGGGTTTCGAGTTTAGTGTGTGGGAGTTTGAGATCTAGGTGGAGCCTTGTTTCCTCTTCAACTAACCTCGACCTCTGCACCCCAAACCTTTGCGCCCTCAGATCCTTCAACCCCTATCCCCACGTTCAGAAACCGTGCAATCCAAATCCTGGAATCTTAGACGCTTCCGTGATCTTATCGGTTGAGAATTGCGCACCTGCTTCCGAGACATGGTATGGAACAACACGAATTCACGTGATGGTGTAGCACTTCAGGGTCTAGCATTTGCAGTTCAGGGTTTGTTGGTTGGGGATGGCCCGAGTTCTGAGAGGGTTTACGACATGCGTGCTTCCGGGACATGCGTGTCCTTTTGTGGGGTTTGGGCCCGGATGCACAGGGTTCTTCAAGAAATCGGACACTGGTTTTTGATGTCCACGGAGTGCTCCATCTAGTCTGGTCCCAGAAAATTAGACTTCTCATCCCAAAATCGTAAACTGGAAAACCCAAAACCCTGTTCCAACTACATACTCCTGCATGGGGAGGACCTCTTGCACCACATGGCGGGTGCGAACCAGCAGTTGGAGGAAATTGGGTCTGAATCCCGATTTTGGGGCTGAGTCAAAGGTTTGTTTTCAGTTCAGGGAGGACGTGTAGAGCCTGCGGCCTGCAGCTTAAGGCCTACGGTTTTGAGAGAGAGTTTTTCCAGTTGTGTCTTCACCCGCCAAAACCACTGCAGCTAAAACGACTTGTAGTTGTGGTAGTGGTAGTGGTACTAGTAGCAGTAGTAGCACAAGTTGCAGTAGTATTAACAGTAGTAGTAGTAGTAGTAGTAGTAGTAGTAGTAGTAGTAGTAGTCGTAGTAGTAGTAGTAGTAGTCGTCGTCGTAGTCGTAGTGGCAGTGGCAATGGCAATTGCAGTGACAGTAGCAGTAGTAGCGGTAGCACTAGTAGTAAGCAGTAGCAGTAGTAGTAGTAGTAGTAGTAGTAGTAGTAGTAGTAGTAGTGGTCGTAGTGGTAGTGGTATTGGTAGTGGTGGTGGTAGTGGTGGTGGTAGTGGTAGTGGTAGTGGTAGTGGTAGTGGTAGCAGTAGCAGCAGCAGTAGTGGTTGTGGTCGTGGTCGCGGTCTTGCTAGTGTTAGTGCTAGTGGTAGTGGTAGTGGTAATGGTAATGGTAATGGTAGTAGTAGTAGTAGGAGTAGTAGTAGTAGTAGTAGTAGTAGTCTTACTTCCCCAATAAGCCAGGGAAATAAAAGGTTAAACTTTCAGATTACTACTAAGTTATAAGAACCCAAAAGTTTAAAGGTTGGGTATTGGAGAACTAAGTAGTAGCAGTAGTAGTAGTAGTAGTAGTAGTAGTAGTAGCAGTAGTAGTAGTAGTAGTAGTAGTAGTAGTACAGTAGCAGGAGGAGCAGCAGCAGCAATGGTTGTGGTGGCAGCGGTAGTGGAAGCGGCGGTTGTCGCCGTCGGTGTCGTCGCCGTGGCGTTGTTCGCTGTCGTGGTGACGTAGCAATGGAAGTGGTTATTGTCGTCGCCGCCCTTGTAGAAGCATCGTGATTTCAGGCGAGGTGGTCGAAGCAGCGGTAGCACAGGCAGTAGATGCTGTCACCGTCGGAGAAGCAGGATATGACCAGAAGGAGCAGCGGAAGCAGCAACAACAGCAAGAGTGGCAGCAGCTACATTCAGCTATAAACATTTTTAAAAGAAAATCACGTCTCGCAATAATCGGCTTCGCCTTTCTGGTGAGAGGCTCAAACCCTTGAGCAACGTGCTACCGGGGCTTCGGAGTTCAGGATCTGCGTTTAAGGCTTGGGCTTTGATGTCTGGTGCCCTTTTACAATAAACGGCCGTACGTATCCTGCTAGTATCTGTGCTGCAACAGCCCCAGGTGTAGGGCAGAGGAAACGCTTAGCTAGGGTTGTTCCTTAGGGGTTTTGTGTCTAGCTTCACAGATCCTCAAAAAACGCTTCTGGTAAAAGCGTCGCGGATTCACGCTTATCGTTTAGTTTCCCAGCTTGGTGTTTGTGGGTTTTCACGCTTACACACCCCCTCAAACACGGGACATGTTCAGCTGCACTTGGGAGAGCAGCATGTGGATGGTCTGGGGTTCTCGTTGATCGTAGTAGAACCTCCATCATGACCCAAATCGCATAGCACCAAACCCTGCAACCACTCCAAACCCCCAGCTCCCCAAGCCCAAGCCAAAGTGCAAAATCCCACTACTGGAGTCAACACCTAAAGCCCGGAAGACCGGAACCCTTCCCCAAACCCTTACCTCAAAAGAACACCAAACCCTACCCCTTTCAAGGCCCCCAAACCTTAGCTCCAGAGACAAAAGTGGCCTGGAAGGACTGATTCGGGCGCTTCCATGACCTCCTTCGAGCTACAAGCGCGAGAAGGGGCGCAGCAATAAATGCAATTCAAGTAAGACGCAACCAAGGGCCCAAACGGACAAAATCCCAACACCAAAATCCTTATCGTAGGGACACCCGAAAGAGACACCCCGGGTTGCGAGTCTCACCTGTTGGGACAATGTTCAGTTCAATGTCTGCAGGCTTGAAACGCGCAATGTCAATCAGGGACGTAACATGAGCGTATGTGGTGGTACTGTAACAGTATACCCCGGAATCGCATTCTCTGGGTAACGGCTCAACGCGAGCGGCTGTAGTTCGGGGTCTAGGCTGTCGGGCCTACGCTTGTTTCTCTAACGTCTGTCCTGCCTCTTACGTGTTCTTTCTTGCCCTGGCTTAAAAATCATCCGGTCGAGAAACTACGAAATCAAAGACCAGTGTCAAAGACTCCAATCCGAAAGTCACACCTATCCCAGGCATCGGAACGACAAACACTTGGAATTGTGCTCCCTGAAGACTTGCAATCTACATCCAACAGATTACATCCTGACCACAAGTTTCCATGACCAAGACTTGAGGGGACTGCTACTTGCAAGGGCTCTTATGCCGCGCTGATGAGTCTCATGAGACTTCGACAAAATCTTGTTATCTCCGGCTGATCGTAAGGTTCGGCAAGGCAGCATTGAAGGCAAACACCTCAGATCGGATGGCCTGCGGAATCAGAGAGACCTGATCTGTTGGTCGCGATGGCACCGAGTCCTACAGGAGGACCATACTTCTCTTCAAGGTCGCCCAAAAGTCGTATCGTCGGGTTCAATTCAGACATGCAGGCCCCACATCTGCCAAAAGGCGAGGGTAGCAAAAACAAAGCATGCATGAGTTGGACAAACGCACGTATGTATGTCTACGTAACATTTTTCAAACATGACTGTTTAAGCTGGAAACATACGGGTTGAAAAGAAGGCACGCAGTTGCACGTCTATAATGACAGTTACGTGCATATATATAAAAAAACATATGTGTATATATACATGTGTGTGTATGTGTGTAAATATATGTGTGTGTATGCACGCAAATACAAAACAACTTTGAACACAAACAAACGTGCATATATATATATATATGTGTGTGTGTGTGTGTGTATATATATATACACATAATACATACTTATATATGGATGTGACTATACATGCATGCATGGTGGGATCCACAAGTACATACATACATATCCACATACTAACATGCCTGCACATGCAGCAACATATACACATACATCCATATGCAGAAACAGGCGTGCATGTATACTGTACTGGCTGCTTCTCTGCCTGCCTGCCTGCCTGCCTGCCTGCCTGCCTGGCTGCCTGCCTGCCTGCCTGCCTGCCTGCCTGCCCGCCTGCCTGTCTCTCTCTATTTGTCTGGCTGGATAGACGGAGAGAAACTTCAACAGAACTAACGGAAACTAATCCGAGAAACAAGACAGAGACACACAAGGTTTAAGTGTTGGGGCAGCCTGCTGTCGGTACGGTTCACACCTGTCGTGAAGCAATGGGATTGTTCACGGGTACCGCTCCCAGCAAAGGGATACTACAAAAAGGACCCAAACACGGACCTCTGATGTCGAACGGTAACCCGGTAGTTTGCGTGCACATCTGCTTGAAGATGTTCTTGGACTTGGTTGCCAGCGGATCTTCTCCCAGTTCTGTGGTCGACGTGGCAGGTTGACTCCGTGTGTGGCAGTTGTTCCAAACTTTATGCATTTGAAGATAAGGTGAGTCGTACTTGTAATATGAACGACCCAGGCCACACATCTTGTTCCGAATAGGCCCAGGGCCCAGAAATCTCCTGTGTCCAACCGGCAGGCTGCGTGTCCACATCCTCAGCATCTCAAACGAACCCACCCTCCCCGCCCGGACACATCGGCGGCTTGTGGCTTCAGTCTAAGGGTCATAAGTTAGCCCGCACCAACCACGAGGCTAACGAACAAACGGATGCATATAATCTTTACCCGGGCCCCAAGCCCTATGGCCAACACCCCAAACCCTAAACCATGAGCCGTACCTCGCCGAGAGATTCCCTACTTCCAACTCTTTACGAGTACATCCAGCCACGAATTTCACATGTGCATGCTGGCTGGGCTTCACCCTTGGGCCACTGGGGGTTTACCGTTGAGGTGAGTGTCTCCGGGCTTAGTTACTTTGGTACTTCTTAGGGTGCTGGGTTCTGTCTGTGGTTGACTTTCGGCCCTTTGCACCCCCGCATTGCCTGCGCCCTGAGAACCGCCACTGAGGGGACAACTACCGGCTTGATGAGCCTGTTCCCTAAGGCTCCATGCGCCCCTATAGTATATACTTAGGCCTTAAAGTACCTATGTAGGAACCCCTTGTCATTTATTTTCCATCTGTTGGATGGTTGAGGTTGGAGGGGATGGGGCAAAGCGCACATGCTAGACCTTTCAAGGCCGACATGTCATGTAGAGGCCTATATCATTGAAGGCCACTTCAACCTTCAACCAAGAGGCAGCGGAGGTTGCATTGCTCTAGATTTGTCTCCGTTCGAGAGCTTTGGTTGTACTAAGGGCCATCGAACTACACCGATGCGACCCCAAAGCTAAAACCAAGCCCAAACTAAGTCAGGGTGGAAATCACAAGGCTCAAACTTCACACTCCGAGAGCATAACCGTAAGCTCAAAAACAAGCACTCAACGTTAGCCATAAGACCCTTCAGAACACCCCTAGTCGTCGATACTTCCAGGTCAGGTAGCGATGGCTTTGAGCTCACCTTCCCCCTCCGAAAACGTGCACATTGGAGTGCAGGCGCCTGCAGGATAGGGGTTCAGGGTTTAGGGTTGTTTCTTGAGGTCCAGGGTCGAGGGCTTCTGGGCTTTGTCAAGAGCCCTGCGGTGAATGCAGCTCTCCACATCTTCACTGAACACTTCGGTGCTCAGGTGCGGGGAGGAAACACGCGAATCTTGTGTATTCAGGACTACAGGTCTTGTGGTTCCATGCGGCGGCGCTGAGTGAGGATCCGGGCTGCAAGCCTGGGTCTCCCAGGGTTTGAGGTTTGAGTTTCTGCCTATTTTGCCACATGACTGGCTGACGCCGATGCTGCGCAGCAAGGACAAGAAGACGCGGCCAAGACGGACTCACACACAGTGCTATGTAACGTCATCTTTCTTTTTCGGAGCCAAATGTCGGGCTAGGGTATATAGCACCGCGACTCCGCGGTTCCTGAAGGAAGC